CTTCCACCTCGGGTGCCACCAAGAGGGCTCCCCACACCTGGAGCCTCCTTCAGCGGCCCCAGGTCTTGGACCAAGTGCTCCCAGGCCCCCAAACTGAGTATAGAACAGGAAATACGTTGAAAAGAAAAAGCGAGCCTCTGATTACAGAAACACGAACTTCTTTGGCGTCACCAAGTCCAAACTGTTCAGTGCTGGGAGGCAGAAGCGCAGGCGGGGGAGAGCTGGTCTCACCTGCAGCGGGGCCCTGGCCAATAACCGAAGTTTCTCTGGTTTGAGATCAGCTGTGTTTGTGGACATGCAGTTTGGCAGTCCTGGCTGGTCTGTGTTGTTTGGGGTTTTGTTTCATAATTCTGAAGGTGGGGGACAGAGCCGGGTGACCAGATCTAGTCGGTGTTTCTCCGGCCAGTTGGCGGCAGCGGGGCCTTCCCGCAGGGAGAGGGGCAGTGCTGAGCCTGGCCCTCCGCTTGCTGGCCCATCACCAAGCGTGAGGCCACAGATGTGTCACCCTAGCGTCCCTGAGGAGCCGTCTGAACTGTCCAGGGAGGACATTCGTGCCGGGGGCTCACGGCCTGGCATGCCTCAACCTCTGCTTGTCCTCTCGTCTGTTTACCGGCTTCTGCTTCCCCGCTGCCGCGCCTCCCATTCCCCACAGCTCAGTCCCTTACCATGACCGGTATGTAACCTCCGCTCCCAGGGGTTAGGATGAGGACGCCTGGGCAAGCAGGACGCTGCCCCCCAGAGGGTCGTAGGAGGGGCCACTGTCGGGCTTGGGGAGCGCTGGCTGGAGCTAGGAGGAGCCAGGAGGAGCCATGGGTCTCCACCTCCTCCCTTGCCAGGACAGAGAGTCCCGCTCCTCTGCTCCTCTGCGGGAGGCCTGTGGCACATCTGAGGCCCATGCTGTGCAGACTTGGCCGAGCGCCCGGCACCAGCACTGAGTAGGAGCTGCCTCCTTCGGCCAGCATCAGGGCTCCTGTCTCCACTTCTTTTCTTTTCCTTTCCCTATTATAAAAGAGACCTTAAGGGGCTGGCAGTTGGCAGTGGCTAATTGTGCTGGACTCCCACATGGAGAACTGTGGTTCAAGTCCCGCACCTGATGGCTTTCTTTCTCACTCCCCCCCCACCCCCACTCTCTCTCTGTCCCACTCTAGTCAAATTAAAATAAATAAAGTGAAATAAAATAATTCTTTTTTTTTTTTAAAGAGAGATTTGCTATAAGGTGTGTGTACTTGCCAAAGAGATAGAGAAATCACCTCCCAGGAGGGATGGCCACACCACAATCCTTTCTCCTCCATTCTCCTCTCAGGATTTTGGGTATGCCCGCACATGCACCTGGCCTGAGTTTTAAGTCACCAGGTCTGGGATTTGAACTGCAGTCAACTACGTGGGAGTCCAGCAACATAATCATTATGCCATCTGCTGGTCCCAATAATTTTTTTTTTAAGAGATACCTTACTGAGCCCTCCACAGCATTCTCTTGCTCACTTACTCTGTGGCATCCTTGAAAGGGCATTGCAGTGCAGAACCCTGGAGTGTAGTGGACACATTTTTTTCATGGAGATGAAAGGAGGGGCTTCCGATATCTCAGTTCTCTGCAGGCACTAATTGCTGTCAGACCTCCAGAAGTCTAGGTAAAGGGAGTGGGGAGTGGACAGAAGAACCGGTGGCCCATGCCCTGGGGTCCAGTCCCACGCTGCGTTCTCCCAGGCTTTGCTCTGCCGCCATCACCTTTGAGTGACCCGGGACATTACCACCCGCCACCACGACAGGCCCGTTTCCACATCTCTACTGAGCATGTTGGATCAGTGGTTCCGAGAGCCTCTCCAGCTCTTATGCAATAGCGTTTTTATTTTTACATATAAAGTCCCCCCAGTATAAAATGAGACCATTTTAGTGACAATTTGCTCTAAATGTTGCTTTGTATTTAACAAATTGGAGACAATTTGTTATTAAGAACTAGAATTCTGTGAAATCTACATTGTAATTTTAAAGGGGAAACAGTGATAGTGAGAATTAGACTTTAGAAAGGGAGAATGGTTACTTAGTACTCAATTCTTTGGGGAAAGTATTGGACAGTGACAATCTGGGGCCAGCTCTGATTGCTGGGGCCTGCTCCGATTGCTGGAGCCTGCGGGAAGCAAATAGCTGGGACTCCATGTGCAGCCCACACAGGCCCATCAGGCTGGAGGTCTGCTCCCAGCAGGCCTGTGGAATCCACGCCCACTCCGGAGTCAGAGTCTCTAGAAGGAAGCTAGTACTGTCTTTCTTTTTAAAAACTCTCAGGGTAATTTTGGCGTGCCCACTGGTTCCGAACCACCTGTCTGCATCAGTGGCTCTGCAGGGACAGTTCCCAGGGAAGGGGCATTTAAGGCTTTGCACATCTCTCCCAACCTGCCCTCACCTTTGCTTCGAATTTTTAGAACTTGCAAAGACAACTAACTCTCTGTACAGTGTCCTCCCTGCAGATTGGCCCCAGAGCACTTTATCCTCCCCCCCGACACACACACACACACACGCACACTCATCACCACCCAGAATGGGAGTACCCAGCTGCCAAGGTATCCCCCCTTTGGCAGGGCAGCCCAGAGACGTACCTGGCCTGTCTCCCAGAACGCCGCTCTCTGGTTTCCGCTGTCTAGCCACGCCTTCTCAGCTCCTCTGCTGTGACTTCAGTCTTCTGACCCATGGATCTCTGCTCTGTGCCCTCCCCGTCCTAGCGATTGCATCCCTCTGGTGACGGCAGCACCCTCTCTGTGCTGGCACGTCGCGGGTGTCCCCAGCTGAGTTCTCTGCTCCACTCCAGTCTTGCGTCCTTAGCTGTCTTCTGGACGTTTCCATCGGGATGCCTCTGGTGTCTCAGACCTGAAAACCAAATCTCAACTTTCTGTTTTCCCCTAAGACTTGTTCTTCTTCCAGTCGTTCCAACCAAAGTCTTAGGAATCGTGCTTTCTCTCTCTCACATTCCACATCCAAGCTGTTGAGACTTCCCGTTGGCTCCATCAACGTAATATCCAGAATCCGGCATTTCTCACCACCCCCTCGCTGCCACTGGCCTGAGCTACCCTGCGCTCTCCCAGGCTAGCAAGGGCGCTCATGCAGCTCCTGCAGCTCCTGCTCCCACTCTGTGGGAGCACGCAGCAGCCAGAGAGTGCTTCAGAGCTGCGTGAGTTCAAGTCCGGCGGTGTGGCAGGCTGAGGTGTGTGGGAAGGTCTCGTGAGCATCTGAAGACCTCCCTGAGTACACAGAGATGCACGTGGATAGGTCTCGGCCACAAGGGCCCAGAGGGTGCCTCACTTTCTCTCTGTCCCTCAGGAAAGAAAGAAAGAAAAAATCTTTAAAAAACTATAAATTGGGGAACCAGTAGATGGCATAACGGTTATGTTGCTGGACTCCCACATAGCCAACCACGGTTCGAATCCCAGACCTGGAGGCTTAAAACCCACACTGGGTTTGTGTGCGTGCATGCCCAAGATCCTGAGAGAACAGGAGAATGGAGGAGAAGAGATTGCAGCATGTCCATCCCCCCCACCCCCGGGGGTACTTTCTCACTTTTTCTTTCTCCCTTTCTCTTTCACTGTCTCTCTCTCTCTCCTCTCCACCTGCAGCAAGCACATGCGTCCTATAGCAAATTAAAATAAAACAAACAAATAAGCTCACTGAATTAAAAAAACAAAAGGAAAAGAAAAGAAAAAAAGAAGGACAAATAAAGAAGCCTTCATAGTGGTTAGATCCGTTGACCTGCTAATCATGCAGAGAGCTAACCGAGGAGATCACCAGCTCTGAGAAAGACATTCTAGACTGAGACACGGCCTTGTGTACAGTGACAGAAACCTGACAGCAGTGTAAACATTAACGGTGCCCTCCTGGGAGCAGCAGATGGTGTAGTGGTTACATCGCTGGACTCCCACTTAGTCAACCACTGTTCGAGTCCTGCATCTGGCGGTTTAAAACTCATGCCGGGCTCTTGTGCATGCATGCCCAAAATCTCGAGAGGAGAATGGAGAAGGGATTATGGCATGGCCATTCCCCCAGGGAGTGATTTCTTGCTTTCTGTCTCTGTCTCTGGCAAGCACACGTAATGCCACAAGGATGCTCTTAAAGTTCATGCAAAGGGAAAGGTCAGGATAGTAAAATGTAGAATATGGTAACAACCTATCTTTTTAAATTACATGATAATATATATATGGAAAATGTTTGCAAAGAAATGTGCCCAAACATTAGCAATGATGATTTCACGTTTTGTTTTCTGCATGAAGCTGGTATTCTCACAGCACTGTAGTAAGCACATTATGGCCATGCAGTGCAGTTCTAAAAGACATGTGCCTTACTCAGAGAAAAAAATTAATTGCTGTTGGAAAGAAGTAGTGGTGCTTAGCTAGAAAATAGAAGTTTTATGAGGGAAATTATATGCTACGGTATTACTCCTACTTACGGGCTGTCAAAACATGTTTTTCCCAGTAGGCTCCTGGAAGATGGAAAACACAGTTTTTGATTTTTGATTGGTGGATTGTGTGCTGCTGCTCAAGACTGAGTGATTCTAAATCTTTTTATTATTATTATATAATGTTTAACGTTTAAGCCCTCTTTTTGTATCATTGGTCACATCTCCTAGTCAAAAATTCAGTAGCCTGGAGTGTAGCCGCAGCTTGACGCTGGGTGTTTCACTCAGAGAACAGGATTCAAACTTCAGGCCCTGTTCCTATGGGTGATGTTTGAAAACTTCGTATAGTTCTGCTTCCTATTTTTAGATTTCTAACAAGGAAGGGGTGGTGAAATCCCGTATGTGTGGGAAATTATTGAAAAGTGGCTCAGGCCCACCAAGACCGGGGAACAGTTAGCTCCGGTTTCAGGTGACCCTCCCGCCATGGGTAACTGCCTTGTTTCCGTAAGTGGGAAGAGTATCTCAACCTTGCCTCGAAGATTCCGTGGGACTAAAGCTTCTGAATGTGGAATGGTAGCATCAGCCTCACGTGGACTTGTTCTCTTGACTCCCCGTGGCCCAGGACGATGTCTGGACAGCTACCACCGAACATCGACCTCAAGGAGCCCCGATGGGATCAGAGCACCTTCGCCGGGCGGGCCAGCCATTTCTTCACCGTAACCGACCCCAGGAACATTCTGTTAACAGACGAACAGCTGGAGAACTCAAGAAAAATAGTGCATGATTACAGGTGATAGAACCATTGTGTTTTTTTAACTTAATGTATGAATAGATCATCACGTTAGGGTATTATCTTTAGACCTTGACTTAGTGATCTTTCTTTGCAATGGAAAAGAAAAGAAAAAGACCTTATATGCCCTTGCTGACCCTTACTGCAAACGTCCAGGATCATGATAACCTGAAAATGAGACAGTCCGGTCTGGCTTCATAGCCTAAATACTTAAGGGAGTTGAGTCCCATGTGGCCAACCATGCCCTTCACATCCTGGCCCCAGCTGCTTGAAAAACGTGCTAGACATCTGCACGTGTGTGCCCCAAATCCTAACAGGATGGAGAAATGGAAGAGAAAGGATTGTGGCTTGGCCACGCCCCACGAGAGAGTGCTTCCTCTCCTCTCTGTCTCCCTCTGGCAAGCAGGCAGATCCTCTGGCAAAAATAAATAAGTAGATACCAGCACACTAAATCCAGTCTTGTGTTACAACACGAACTAGTAGAACTTATCTCAAGAATGAAAAGGTGGTTTAATTGAAGGACACTTATTAACTTATCACATCACTACATCAAAGCGAAAAAGCCACATCTTCGTGGGTGCCCAAAAGAAGGTCAAATCGTACGCCCGTTTCTAATCATCAGCCAGGAATAACGGGTAGTGCTTCTTTAATATGATGACGAGTACACACCCCGCACTCAGTGATGCGGTACGATAGCTGGACTCCCTAGGAAGGCCTCTGCAGAAAAGTAGTCCTGTAGAATCTCCACAGAAGAGAAGACGAAGGTGGTTTCTGTAGTTAAATTTGGGAACGTTTGTATCCTGCTCTTGAGGCTGTCACATCCCACTAGCTTTTCGCTAAGTTTCTGAGAAGTACAATGGAAGGGGTGTAATCCGCTTTCCCAGACTGGAACACGGGCCCTCACTCTTCCCATGACACCTGTTACTGTCTAAGGAGCACTCCCATGGACACGCTGCTCTAGAAGTCTTTCCTGTTAAAGCAGGGAGCCCACCACACGGCCCTTATCTTCTCTGTGACGTACCATTGTTCTGGAAGCCTTCGTCAACTTGATATGACAGAATAAGAAATTAATTAGAGGGATATTGAAAGGGTTAAAAAAAAAATAGAGACCAGCAGTTAGCGTAATGGCTATGTGGCTGGACTCCCATGTAGTTGACCACAGTTTGAGTCCCGGGCCGGCAGCTTAAACACGCCACGCACATGTGCGTGTGTGCCCAAGATCCCGAGAGGAGAATGGAGGAGAAGGGATTGCGGTGTGGCCATCCCCCCTGGGGGATGATTTCTCGCTTTCTGTCTCTCTGTCTCTCTCTGTCTTTCTGGCAAGCTCACGCGCCCTATATCAAACATTTATCAAAAAAAAAAATATATATATATATATGGCACATGACAGTCAACTAAAAAAATCAATGAAATAAATAAAGAATACACAATGAGGAGACTACTTATACACAAAAATTTGGTAGTTTTCTATATACTAGCAATAATCAGACACTAGTTTTTATTCATAGTCACAAGAACAATAAAAATGTAAAATACTCAGAGCAAATTTACCCAGAAATCTGTAGCAATTACAAGACAACTGACAGTCATTATAAGACACATCTGAATAGCTGAAGACGCAGTAGGTTGGATAGACTTGATGATGTGAAGGTGCCAGTTCTCCCCAGATTAAGACAGTTTCCACCAAAATACAATTGTAATCACCTTTAAAATTAGCGAAATCACTATAAGGTCTATCTGGAAGAGTAGATTAATGACTGTAACTAAGGCAAGTTTAAAAAAGGAAAACAAAGGCGTGAGGGGCAATTGTTCTACCGATTATTATTAACATGGACTATCAGATGAAGGTGGTGGCCGCTGGCGTCAGACTGTAGATGAAGTGGAATACAAACAAGATCTAGGAGGCAGACCTACTACTCACAGAATCTCAGTTGATACAGACCGACCAACAGGGAAATAGAGTTAAGCAAGCTTTACATTTTAGTATCTCAAGATAAATTCCAAGTAGATTAAGAACTTAAATGACAAAAGCCACACAACTACCACGAAAATGCTGCAAGTGGGCAGGTGGCGTGGTGGCTAAAGACACTGGACTCCCACGTTACCAACCACTGTTCGAGTCCTGGACCTAGCAGCTTGCTTTCTCACTTTCCCTCCCTCTCTCTCTCTCTCTCTCGCTCTCACTCTCATTCTGCCCTTCTCTGGTCAAATTAAAATAAATAAATAAAGTTAAATAAAATAATTCTTTAAAAAATCATAGAAAATGTTACAAGTGTATGAATATAGGTTTTCACGGAGGATGAGGACTTTTCCTGGCAGAAACATTTATTCCTACATGACCACATACAAACAAAACTTTTCAGGACACCAGACCACACAACCAGTAATTAAAATTTTAGTTAATTATTCACAGTGTACAAAGCACACATATAAGTTACATAAGTAATAATAATGTCGCTGCTACTGTTGATGTTTAAAAAAAAGATACAGTCAAGTACAGAAAGAGGATCAAAGACATATTTAAAGTTTTACTATTTTAAAATAACATGGCTTTTATCTCAGCAAATTAACTCATTTCTTTGGAAATAATCTTGGACATGGGGAAAGATCTCTTTCTGAGGGTTTGTTTACTTCCTCATTGTTTACAAACAGAAAGCGAGAAGCAATTAGAATGCCCAAGCCTAGCTGACCGGTGTAGCGCATTATTTTACATTCGCACAGTGGAATTCTAGGCCGCCTTCGAAAGGATTTTTTTCTTCCTTTTCTTTCCTTTTACTTTAGATTTTTGCCATTATGGCGGATGCATTCACTGGAGAGAGACAGACAGAGACAGAGAGAGGGGGAAAGTGAGGAATTACCCACCAGGGAGGATGGTCACACAGCAATCCCTTCTCCTCTTGAGATTCGGTCACACACACCACACAGTACCCCAGCATAATTTTCAAGCCACCCGGTCCAGGACTGTTAGCCACGTTAATCTCCACAACCTGCCGGCCCCTGAAAGGACGACTCTTCACTGCCCGAGGCTGCTGTAGCGAGTGACTACCAGCTGGGCGACCTGAGCAACAGCCAGTCATTCGCTCCCATCCGGAGGCTAGAGGTCTGAGGTCAGGGTGTTGGCGGCCCGCACCTCGGAAGGCCTGAGGGAGCGTCTCTCCTCACCTCTCCCTGGGCTCTGGTGGCACTCGGAGCGCCTCAGTGTCCCTTGGCTTCTAGGTAGGTCCCTCCAGCCTCGGCCTCCCCGGCCCTTGGCCTTCCTTGCGTGTTTTCGCATGTCCTCCTCACGCGAACGCCGACACTGGGTTTAGGCACCACTCCAGCCCACTGTGACCTCACCTCAGCTCACTGCATCTCGAAGGCCCCGTCTGAGGCCATGTTCTGAGGCTGCAAGTCTGTGGATGTAAATTTGGGGAGCACGTTGCACCCCAGGGCAGATGATGGCGAAGCATATCTGAAGATGCTGAGAAAGGTTCACTGATGTCACTGAGGGGAAAGGCGGTTGTAAAGCAGGAGTGCTGGGATGCCTTGAAATGAGCACATTGTCTAAGAGAGCCCAGAGGAAAGAGTAAAGTACTCACCAAGACGTAGCCAATTTCTATTTATTTATTTATTTATTTTGAGAGATCGTTGCTTTTAAGGTGTATGTGCTCGCCAGAGAAACAGAAAGCAAGAAATCACTGCCCGGGGTGTGGGGTTGGCCATGCCACATCCCTACTCCTCCGTTTTCCTTTTATGATTTTGGGCACAAATGCACATGCACCCAGTGTGAGTTTCAAGTTGCTAGCTCCGGGACTCAAACCATAGTTGTCCATGTGGGAGTTCAGCACCTTAACCCCTGCACGCCCTGCTGGCCCCAAAGCTTTAGAGATTGTAATTGCTTTAATGAATCTCTGTATTTTCTAAATTTCTGGCAATGAATATGTTTATTTGATAAGAAAAAATAATGAATGATGTACCTTAACACTTTTTTTTTTCACTAAATAATCTTTCTAATCTAGGTTTTCACAATATAGGTTTAAAAACAAATTAATATTCTTGATTGCCATAGCTTTTGTCTAATTGGTTAAAAATATTTTGAGGTTGCAAAGTTCAAAACCCATTTTTAAATATGTCATTTAAAACAAAGACTTTAAAGTGGAGAACTTTCTTACAATGTAAGGTTATTTTGCTTTCCTAAATTACAGATAATTTGAGATGAATAGATTTGAAATATTCATTTAAAGTATTTATTGTCCTGTGTGGTTTTAAAGCTTTAGTGACTCCATGACAGGACCTTTGCCTCTCGTCCCAGCTGTTTCAGGCAGGAGAAAACTCTCAGAACCTCCCAGCTCCTTGTCTCTAGGTTTGAAATGAACATTTACAGTGTTGTCGTGTTTTCCTAGACAAGGAATTGTCCCTCCAGGCCTTACAGAAAATGAATTATGGAGAGCTAAGTACATCTACGACTCGGCTTTCCACCCGGACACCGGTGAGAAGATGATTTTGATAGGAAGGATGTCAGCTCAGGTCCCGATGAACATGACCATCACCGGCTGCATGATGACGTTCTACAGGTAGGTTATGGGCACGTAACTGCGGTTTGTGTAACACTGCAAAAGCCAAAGGACTTTTTGTGTGTGTAACTAATTGTATTGGAGGCTGACCAGGTGATGTGCTGGTTAAGGCAGTTGGATCCCACATGGCTTTAGTCCCAGATTGGGCAGCTCGAAAGACATGCGTGTACATGCATGCCCAAGATCCCAAGGGGAGGACGGAGAAGATAAAATCAAGGTGTAAGTGCTTTAAAAATATTTTACTTCCAGTTTCATTTTGTGTAAATACTGCTTTTCTAGAAGTTTTCCATTTTCTCTGCTAAATAGCATCTCCTTTGTTGTTCAAAAGGAGGTTGAATTTTTTTTCCTAAACCTAGACCCAAGAGAAAATGAGATGGAGAAAGAAAACGTTCTGTAAGTAACTTCTCCTTTTTTGGGGGGGTGGGGGGAGAGGTTTTTTGCTATAGGGCACGTGTGCTCGCTAGAAAGAGAGAGACAGAGAGATAGAAAGCGAGAAATCACCCCCCAGGGGTGATGGCCACGCTGCAATCCCTTTTCCTCCATTCTCCTCTTGGGATCTTGGGCATGCACGCACATGTGCCCAGTGTGAGTTTAAGCCACCGGGACCGGGACTCAAACCGCGGTCAGCTACATGGGAGTCCAGTGACATAGCCATTACGCTAACTGCTGGTCCCAGTAACTTCTTTTAATGCATCCATATAGATACAGATGTAGATCTGGGTCGAAGTCTAGATATAAGTATAGACACAGATGTAAGCATAGGCTTGTGTAGCCATACAGGGTCACACAGGCAGACGGGAGGGGGGCCAGGACTGCTCACCGTATAGAAGGCTTCTTTGTTCCCAGGGCAGAGACCTGACATTTATTGTCTACTCTGTGCCTGGCTTACTACAGAATTTTTAAAAATAATTATTTATTTAATTTTATTTATTATTTATTATAATATTATTTATTATTATTATTGTTATTTGGAGAGAGAGGGAAAAAAACAAGCCACCCGAGAAAGCAAGAAAATGAGCTGTCAGGTCCAGGACTCAAACCGCAGTTGAACACATGGGAATCCAGCACCTTAACCACTATGCCACCTGCCAGCCTCATAAATTTTATCTTATTTCATCCTCACAAGAACCTTCTGAGCTTACCTTGGACCATATTTAACAAATAAGGAAGCTGACAATCAGGGACGGTGAACGTTTGCTCGGCCACTCACAGCCTAAGTCAGTGGCCCCAAGAGCCTGGTCTCTCCCCAGCAGTCCCTCTCCACCGTGGTACTGGCGTTCACCTTTCCTGTCTGTCCCGCAGTGGGTCACAGTGATGGAGGGTGTGTGACGATCGCTCTGTTTCAGGACAACGCCGGCCGTCCTGTTCTGGCAGTGGGTTAACCAGTCCTTCAACGCCGTGGTCAACTACACCAACAGAAGTGGAGACGCTCCCCTCACTGTGAAGTAAGGCTGTAAGACTAGCCAGTCCCCCTGGTCCCCAGTATTCATTTGGTTAGTGGGGACACTCCTGGGGAGGAGAGTGCATTTGCACAGCTTGTTTATGTGGCTAAGATATTCTGGAGCATCTTCACAGGGAAGTGTTCCTTCCTCCCTCTCCCTGGGTAAGGCTTCTTCCAGGCCGCCTTCTCAGATGGGGCTCATGCCCTCGTTGGCGCTGGTAGCCTGAGTCCTCCCTCCTCTCCCACACCCCAGCTCTCTGCCCCTGCAGAGCACAGCCTCTGGTACATGACAAGCCGCACCCCCAAATCCCCTGCATGAGTCAACAGCCACCCACGTGGGAAGCAGAGGCCAGCAGGGGGCTCTGCAGAAATTGGGAGATCTTGTGGTGTGATGTTTATTCCTGATTTTGTTTTAAAAATCAGCTTATCGAGAACCCTGAAAGAAAGCAATGAATTTGAAACTTTTTTAATCTGCCTCCTGTGGAAAAAATTTAGGACCAGTAGGTGGTGTAGACATTAAAGCAGCTGTACCCCACAAAGTTCAAGTTCCACACCTGGTGACTTAAGAAACACACCAGGCATGTATGTGTGTGTGCATGTGTGCATGTGTGTACGCATGCTCAAAATCCCGAGAGTAGAATGGAGGAGAAGGAATCGCAGTGTAGCCCTCTCCATAGGGGTGATTTATCACTTTCTCTGTCTCTCTCTCTGGTGAGCACATGTGCCCTATAGCAAACAGACAAACAAAAATTTAGACAAGCTAAGGATGTTAGTGTCACTTGTACAACTCTTAAGGGTTTTTCTTTTTTATCACTTCAAATTGCTTTTAACAGCCATAACAGATAAAGATGTGGATAACAGATATAGATCTGAGTCCAGATAGAAGTGTAGACACAGACTTGTGTAGACATACAGGGTTACATGGGCGGATGGGAGGGGCCAGGACTGCTTACTGAACAGAGGGCTTCTTCCACTATCACCATTTAGAACAAGGGACATTGAAATCTACATCCCAGCAATTTTATTACAATTAAAATTTATTTTAAAAGAAGAGAGGGGCGATCAGGTGGCATGATGGTTAAGGGCACTGTATTCTCACATGACAGACCATGGTTTAAGTCCCAGGCCTGGCAGCTTGCTTTCTCACCTTTTCTCTCCCTCTCCCTCTCCCTCTCCCTCTCCCTCCCTCCTTCCTTCCCTCTCTGGTCAAATTAAAATAGATGATAGATAGAGATAGATAGATAGATAGATAGATGATAGATAGATAGATAGATGATAGATAGATAGATAGATGATAGATAGATAGATAGATGATAGATAGATAGATAGATGATAGATAGATAGATAGATGATAGATAGATAGATAGATGATAGATAGATAGATAGATGATAGATAGATAGATAGATGATAGATAGATAGATAGATGATAGATAGATAGATAGATGATAGATAGATAGATAGATGATAGATAGATAGATAGATAGATGATAGATAGATGATAGATAGATAGATAGATAGATAGATAGATAGATGATAGATAGATAGATAGATAGATGATAGATAGATAGATATAGATAGACAGATAGATAGATAGACAGTTAGATGACAGATAAAGTTAAAAACAAAATGATTCTTTAAAAAGAAAGAAGAGAGAATTGCTTGTGCTTAACTGTATTTTGAAGATGAGCCTTTTAGTATTTTTATGTAGTACAATAACATTTTACAAGTGGCAGCGCTGAGCTTGGAAATTACCTTATCCATTTTAGTTTTTTACAAATTTCAATTACTTTTTCTTCAGACTTCAGCCAAATACTGGTTAATAATGTGATGTTTAATACTTTTTATGTTTTTATTAGGCCGTTGGGGAAGTCATGTCCTATTTTTGCACAGAAAATTACGTCATGACTTTCCCAACGACCTAATATTTCAGTTGTCTTGAAAACATGCCAGCAACATCAAACATACTCTTAAGATGTAAAGTTTTGGGTGTGTATGCAAAGGTATAGAAATGGGAGTTATAAATTAGGCATTTCCCAAGCCTATAAATTTGATTTTGGAGAAAAACATCATGATGGCCAGGCAGGTCAGAGTAAGACAAAGTATCTCAAATAGATTATCCGTAAGTTAATACTAAGAAAAAGAGGGCATGAAAGTGGCTCCACAGTAATGCAACACACTGAGTCCGGTCCACATGGAGAGGTTCCATGTTCACATCCGGAGGACTTCCTGAACTGAAGGTGCACGTGCCCAGGGACTGACTGAGGCTGGGCTGGTTCCTAACAGAAGGGTTTCTGTTCAGGGGACCTCTCTCTCTCTTCATGTGGAAAAAAAAAAAAAAGAAAGAAAGAAACTTAAAAAAAATAGAATGGCAGCACTCCCTTTTTGCTTTCTATTATGTATATTAATATTCTAAGAATTATTTTATTTAAAATCATTATTAATTTTTTTGAAAGACAGAAGCAGCTTTTACTATATTTACATCAAACAAAACTTTACAGGGTGCTAATATTATTATTATTTTAACATGACCAAAGAGAAACAGAGTGAAGGAGAGTGAGAAAGCACGCTGTCAGGGCCAAGACTCAAACTGTGGTGGACCATTTGGTCTAGGGAGTGGCCAATCTGAGCAAACACGGTGATCTTTAGCTACATGCAAAAACGTGGTTTCACAGGCAGTCATATGCAGGGCAATGAAAGCCATTCACATGTGAATATGCTAGCTACCTCTCTTTCCAAAACTGTAAGAGCAGTGTTGGGTTAAAGGAAGCTACTCATGTTAATCAGAATTGGTCCAAGAAGATTAGAGAAAATTTACATAGAACTTCATGGTGCCAGGCATATTCACATCTTCGGTTAATTAATATCTGAAAATAACTGACTTTTTATTCCACTTTCTCTTCCCCCCTTTTCTTCTTTAAAAGAATAAACATGGGAATAGTTCAGGGTCATGGTTCCCTCCATCAGAGAAGGTGGGACCAATAAATCCCCGCTTTTCTCTACTTGTGTGCTTTGTGTGTTTATTTCTATGCTTATTTTCAAGTCTACAGCCGCCCCTGCTTCAGAACACACATTTTTTTTTTTTTTTAGCCATGCAGGGCATAGCAATGTGGGAGTCCAGCGCCTTAACCACCACACCATCTCCCAGCCCCTATATACTAATATTTTGAGAAGTATGTTTTATTTAAGCAAATATGCTCCAACCATTTAGGCCAATATGCATTGTTTTGCATTTGTAGCTTCCTACACACTCAGGACTCTCCTCCTTGCCCACCCCAGATGACTGCGTAGTCCATGTGACTACTTGTTTGGGATCGAGTCAGGTTATATGTGAAGAATCCCATTTTTTATGGGTTTACTTACTTTAACTTCACCTATCATAGAGGGATAGTAAATGTTGTTTTACAGACTCTCCGTTCTTTCATATATTTTTCCTTAACTGTGATAGATGTGTACACATACACAAGAGAGAGACAGAGAGACCTTTACAGGGTCAGGTCATGCCACCATCCCTGTCATCCAGTCCTCTGGCCCTCTGGAGCTTAGGCATTTACACTGGAGCCCAGCATGTTTTCAGCTCTCCCATTCTTGGTTGTGCACTTTTACTTCTTCGGAAAGTACTGCACCAGAGCTTCCTAGCACACTCACCGCTCACGCAGTGTTCTGTTTCTCCCAGTGAGCTGGGCACGGCGTATGTCTCTGCAACGACAGGTGCTGTAGCCACAGCACTAGGACTTAACGCACTCACCAAGGTATGTGGGTTTTCCCTTCCATAGCAAAGCTTCTTAATTTGTTCTCCTCTGACTGGCTCTAAGGCTCTCTGTGCTTTCTCAGATTAGTCCTATGGCTTTCTTACTAGACATGTTGTCCTCAGTTGCACATTTTAATTATATCCTCCAGTAAGTTGGGGAAGGATTGTCTCCAGTAAACCTGCCAGCTCTGTGGATTAAGTGCTCAGCACTCACCACTCCCAACAGCCCACCAGAGACCCTGTGGTGGGCAGAGGGCCTCTGAGGAGGCAGAGGAGGCAGCATCTCAATCCCAAGAGCAGACTGGGGGAGAAAGGATTGTGGCATGGTCATCCCTGCTCGGGTGTTTTCTCAATTTCCCTCTTACTCTCTCTCTATGCCTCTCTCCAGGAAGTGCATGTGCCCTATAGCAAATTTAAAAGAAAGGAAGGAAGAGAGGGGTAGAGAGAGAGCGAGAGAAAGAGTTTTAAAAAGAAAAGAAAAGAAAAAGTCAGATCCAACCTCTGGACATTGGGACTGCAAAGCCCACGCTTCAAGCATGCTGAGCTGTCAGAACAGCCTAGAAGCGTGCGGCACCCCATCTGGCACAAGCTGGAAGTGCAGAGCTGTCGCCAGGAGACCTGCTTTGACGGGGCTCTTGGCCTGAGTTTCTGCACACACAGGACTGCGTTTGTAAGAGTCTCCAAGTAGAGATAGATATTTCCCCTCCGAACATGGGAAAGTAAGATGATGCTTTTGGGCCTCTCTTTCCGCAGCATGTCTCTCCACTCATAGGACGTTTCGTTCCCTTTGCTGCCGTAGCTGCTGCTAATTGCATTAATATTCCATTAATGAGACAAAGGTAAGATTAACAAGTACGTCCTGTGGGGACTGGTGCCTGGTGGGAGAGTCTCTGGGCATGATTAGCTTTGGTGAAACTTTGAGGGTTTATTTTAGTATATGCCAATGCAGTTGTAAGAGAACTGGGGTTTGCTTCCAAATAACCTGGGCCTGGGGTCGGGGATGGGCCTGTCACTGAAACCCAATGAGCTGTGAGCTGCTAATTATTGACACAGGCTAATAGATGCCTGGGAGCTTAGGACAGTCTTTTTACTCCTGTGTAATCAAACACAAGATGTAGCTCAGCGTCACAGTGAATTTGCTGGGTTAGACAAAAAAGATCTATGCAAAGATTATTATCTAAAACAGGTTCCTTTTTTCCCCCTCAGAATTCACTTTCGAAGCTTAAAATAACATTAATCTATATCCTTGAAAGTATTTTGGAACAGGCAAAAATTCAAGAAGAAAGAACCAGAAAAGGTGTTTTGGAATGGATAACGAGAAACAGGGTAATGACAGGCGTTATCATTATAGAGTCAGTGACTGTAGTTAATGCATATCCAACAGGGCCTGGACTGGTGACTCCTTTGTGTCTGTGTCGTTAGCTGATGCTCATAATCCATGGATTATGTCTATTTCTCTACTGGAATGTGGCCAAAATTTGTACGTGAGCACAGAAATCAGCCTTATCTTTAAATCAGCATATCCATCCTTTAACCATATTGTTATTGGACGGGTACACTCTTGTTTAAGAGCTTACTGGTGTTATTTTCCTTTTGCGTCTGTCACAGGAGGATTAAACTGGTTCGTGGTGTTCAAATACAGACTTGCCAATGCCCAGAGTGACACTTGAGTGGGCATCTGGATTAGCAGGGTCTTGCCTTCCCAGCATAGCATGATTTCAGGGTGTCTCACTCAGGCATTTATGAACCGCTGCGCATGCATTTGGCTCTGCAGGGAACTCAAAGTGGGCATCCCCGTCACAGATGAAAGTGGGAACCGCTTGGGGGAGTCGACCAACGCCGCAAAACAAGCCATCACACAAGTTGTTGTCTCCAGGATCCTCATGGCAGCCCCTGGCATGGGTTAGTGGAACTGTCGTCTGTTTATCCATTCCATTAGTCTAGATTGAGCAAGGTTTTACGTATCACTGAATAACAACAAGGAAATCGCTTCCCTTATAATGGGGAGGCAGAAAACAGACACATAAATAAACACAGAGCATGCAATATGGTGCTTGGGGCCAGAGGGTGGGGAGGGATGCAGGCTGCGTGGGTGAAGGAGCAGGGCAGCCAGGAAAGAGGACGGGTGGAGGTGAGGGGTGAGTGCTGGAAATGAATACTGGGCCAAGGAGTAGCAGAGAGACAGGAGCCTGCCAGGCGTGTTGGGAGCATTGGGAGGAGGAAGGTGTGGCCAGAGTGGAGAAAGGGAGGAGGAGAGCAGAGGGGCCCTAGAAGCAGGACGTGGACACTGCGTGGGCATCTCAACCTGGACGCTGAGCTGAGGTTAGGAAGCCGTGCAAGGTTTTGGCATAATCCCTCTTGGCCCTCACCTGCCTGCCCTGGGCGCCATGTTGGAACAGTCTGAAGGGGAAGGAGGCTGCTGGCCCGAGGTTATCCGGGAGGCTGTCTCACCTCCACACAAGAGACCTGACTGGCTGGACCAGAGCTGTGCAGTGGAGGTGACAAGGATTGAGGGAAATTTAATCTTTATACATTGTGAAAAGAAACTTCCGAAAGTCCTTGGGTACGAATCACATCACTGAAGATGTTTTTGTACCAGTCAGAACCCTCTTAGAACAGGGAGCAATGTGGAGTGGTTAGAACAGCTATGAATAAAATGTGAGCAGGTCCTCAGTTTCTCCATAGGCCTTGGGGTGGCCATGAGCTAAAGCAGAAAATCTACAATGGTGGCCAGCAGGTGGCATAGTGGTTAAGGTGCTGGGCTCCCATGTGGTTGACTGCAGTTCAAGTCCCAATCCCAGTGGCTTGACACTCATGCTGGGCATGTGAGTGTGCATGCCCAAAATCCCAAGAGGAGAACTGAGGAAAAGGGATTGCAGTGTGGCCTTCCCCCCAGGAGTTGATTCTCGCTTTCTGTCTGTCTCTTTTTTTCTCTCCAGTGAGTGTATGTGCCCTATAGCAAAAATCTCTCTCAAAAAGAAAAAGAAAAAAAAGGAAAGAAGAAAATCGATGATTTATCATACCTAGCCCACTGAGAATCTCTGTCCACCTGGAAGTCTGCTTAGAGTGCCCCTCGGACCAGGGACCGAGACAGGCTTCTCAGACTTCCACAGATCAAGGACCCTGGGGTGGGGGTGCTCTCACAGCAAACGCAAGGCAGAATGAGTGTGTTTAATCTCACCCTCTAATCTGCAAACGGCGCACTTGACCATGAAAATGAAACTCTCTAATGAAGCATATTTAATCAATATGCTCCTGTCACGTTTGCATTAGTTTTTGCTGTTTTAAAATTCCTCTTGTCAGTGTGAATGCTCACTTGCAGGCCAGTAGGAGTTGGCACCAACGACAGAGGGGACACTCGTTCCAACTCACTGGGAGGAGACTGCCATTATGGATCTAACAAAGGAACACCGGGGCCTCTGTGGGGTTCCAGAGTATTCTGTGGGTGGCCAGGAAGCCAGTGTGCTGGAACGCGAGCCATCCCCAGGCCTGCTGAGCCTTGGCTGCGGGGCTCTGAGCTGAGGTTTCGGCTCCCACTTCTGCCCTCGTTTGCTTTCAGTTTGGGTCTCTCCCGTTCTGAAATGCCTGACTTCTCTTGGCATTTCGCCAGCCCGACAAATTTGTTTCCAGTGCCTCAGTTATTTTAAACAGTCTTTAGCCCCCAGAGGAAGAAACACAATCTTTCTGTCTCAGCGAGATTCGTGAGGGTAGCTGGCAGACGGAAGTAGCTGGTGTGACAATCCTGTCTGACAGAGCTGCTTCTGCCTGCCCCTACCCAGCGCTTTACTAGCGGTACTGCCCGGAGTTGTCACAGCCCCTTAGGACAATTTCCCCCTTTTACAGATAAGGACAAACAGGAAACTGAGGCTCACGGAAGCCAGGTAACGTTTCCAGGACCATTCCACTAGCAAGTAGGAGAGCCTGTACTGAAATAATTTCTGCCTTCCTGAGTCAGGATTCTTTTTTTTTTTCTCTTGGAGATAGTTTTGCTATAGGGTACATGCACCCACCAGAGAGAGAGAGACGGAGATATCCCCCCCGGGTAGGGTGGCCACAATGCAGACCCCTCTTCATCCTCCTCTCAGGAACCCGGGCATACACACACATGTGCCCGTGTGAGTTTCAAGCTGCTGGGTCCTGGACTTGAACCACTGTCAGCCACATGGGAGTCCAGCGACGTGACCGCTGCACCTGTGGCCCCCAGGCAGGATTCTTCGCGTGTCCTCCACGCATAATGGGCACCCAAAGAAGGCTGAATGTTTTATTAACACCAGAGGGGGAAGTTCTGTGGTCTATGTGCCTGTTTAAAGGCAAACATAAAATTCTCTTTGAGACTGTGCAACTTCCCAACAGAGGACACTATATCGTTTTTCAAAAACCTAGAGTCTGGGAAGAGTTTTCTATTTCATCTGAATTTCATAACTCAAAGAACCACTACAAAGTTTTCACTCCGCCAGTGCAAAAACAGGCTAAAATGACATAAGCCTTCTGTCAAATTGTTAAGGAAAAAAACAATGATCTGAAAATGGATAGTAAGTAAAGATTAAGCGGCTCTCTCTTTGTTTTCAGCCATCCCTCCATTTATCATGAACACTTTGGAGAAGAAAGCCTTTTTAAAGGTAAGCTCCCGTTCTAGCTTTCACTTTCTCACTCTCGGTCATTCTTTTTCAAGCTTCAAACTAGATAACATATTTCCCACATAAACAGTGAGTAAAGGGACCAGTAGGTGGGATAGTGGTTAAGGCACTGGACCACCACTTGACTGAGCAAGGTTCGAGTCCCAGACCTGGCAGCTTGAAAGGCACACCAGGCGTGTGTGTGGGTGCCCAAAGTGGAGGAGAAGGGATTGAAGCGTGGCCATCCCCTCTGGGGAGTGACTTCTCACTCTCCCCTCACTGTCACTCATTCTCTCTCTGTCTCTTTCCAGTGGGTGCACACACCTATGGCAAAAACTTTAAAAAAAAAATGAGTAAAGAATTTGAAGGTCAATTTGTATATATATATATATATATATATATATATATATATATACACACACACACATACACACACACACACACACACACACATATATATATAATTTTTAACCTCAGAAATTCAAAGTGGCCTTTACAAATAGACTTCTGCTGCTGAGAGTATAACACAGACACTGAGGCCTCTATTAGATGCCGAGGCAGGGAACAATGAACAGATGGGGTGAACTGGGCTTTGGTACGTCTGTAAGTCACTATCCATACATACTGTCACGAATGAAAAACTAACTTGGAATAGCAGCTTCCTGGATCACTGAATTGTAGGCCCGGGCGATGATGTTTAATAATTCATTAAGCTATCAGCTGTCTCTTCTCGAGGTCTGAAAATAGTACAGGATGTAATTATAGCCAGAAAGTTCACCGTGTGTGGTTCTTTCTATGGCTGTCGGTAGGTTCCAAGTCTTCATGCAAAGTTATTGATGTTTAACCTCAGTTTTCCAAGTCTCACCAGTAGGATATGCCGGGGGTGGGTGGCTCCTCTGGCTCGCACGGTGTTTGGAAACTGCCGTGGTTAGACCCGGGAGAAAGAGGGCCCGGCTCCCCCCTGAGCGAGCACGTGTGCTGTGCTGAAGGTGGCCACTCCCTCAGGTCCATGCGCTGGGTCTGAGAGACAGAACTGTGACAGTGAGAGGGCACCATGAAACCCTCACCAAGGACTTGGTGCACAGGTCACAGGGCTCGCATTAGGTCAGGGGCTAGCGGAATTCCGAACCGTCAGTAACAAGCAGCATGCACGGATGCATGACAGAGGCCCCATGGGATTATCATTGGCCAGACTGTACGTGGTGAGCAGCTGTACTGCGCAGGCTCGTCCAGGTGCCCGCTGTGACATCCACACAGTGACGTGACCCAACAACGCAGCTCTCAGGACGTCTCACCACAGGAAAGGGAAATGAGGAGGGGATTGTGGTACGACCACACCCAGGGTGCCCGCTGGCGCGCTCTCTCTCTCTCTCTGTCTCTGTCTCTCTGATGAGGGTGCATGCCTCTGGCAACTAAAAACTAAGATGGCAGCTTATGCAAGACAGGAGCAGTGAATGTGGGTCACCCGATCGATGGTCTAACAAGGTCATGACCGTCATGGATTTGTGGGCAGCTGGTCAGGGCGTACATCCCCACCGGTTAGCTGTCCCTGCTCCTCCTCTCAGCCTCGCAGAGGCCAGTCAACACCTGCTGGGTAGAAGGACCTTACCAGCTTGACTCTGCCGTAGGGCTCAGAACCCTGCCACTGGCCATGACGCAGGATGCTTCTCAGTGGGCACCTTCGGGCTGCTTAGGTGTGCCCCGACCACAGCTTGGAATTCCGGAAGTGCCGAAAGACGGTCTGCTTTCAGGCTGCACTCATGTTGAAAGGCTGGGCTGCAGAGGGAAACGGCGTGCGGGGTCACAGCTTTGACCTCTGGGGGCTCAGCCCTGAAAGGTTGCCTCAGTTACTCCAGGCTCTCAGCGAAAGCATGAGGCAGAAGGCAGAACTGGTTGTGTTGTGAAACGGCCTTGCTCTGACAGAGGGAAGCTGCCGTGGATGTACCCTGGCACTTTCTCTCATGGAGGAAGTAGCTCATGATGCGTGCAGGCAGCTGCATTGTGGCCCACCGTGGCCGCGCTGTTCCAGCTCATGATGCGTGCAGGCAGCTGCACTGTGGCCCACCGTGGCCGCGCTGTCCCAGGCTGTCACACGGTGAGGTGAACACATACCGTCGTGTTCTCACTCTCATCTTTCTCTTTTTAATCCTTTTTTTAAAATTTGCTGTTGGGCGCTAGAGAGAGACAGAGAGAGGGGAAGTAAGAAAGCGCCCGTCAAGGAGGGTGGCCGCTCTGCAATCCATTCTCCCCCGTGCTCCTCTCAGGATTTGGGGCGTGCCCACACACCCAGTGTGTTCTCACGCCGCTGGGTCTGGGACTTGAACCACTCCAACGGCCTTGCGGGATCTAGCACTTTAACCTCATGCCACTTGGCTGGCCCGATTCCCGTCTTAATTTGTGTTATGACAACTTTGCGTGCTGTCACAGCCTTCAACAGTAATTCGAAGGGTGCCCACTCACCCTTTCCACAGAAGCCCTCTGCCTGCCCCAGCCCCACGCTGGGGTCGGGACTCCTGCAGCAAGTCCGGAGAGCTACTCGGAGCAGCTCGTGGGCCAGTTCCTCGGCCACACAGGGAGTCTGGCTGCAGCCGTACTCCAGGCCACAGTGGAAGCAGCAGCCGCTGGGCCCCACACGGTGGCACAGTGAGAGCTCTGCAAGGCTGGAGCCCGTGCGAGGGCGGGTCAGTCCCGACATTGATCTAGGCACACTCGGCAGGCGTGTGCATGTGTGCCGTGATCTCGGCTGGCTGGGAAGCCTGGGAGGGTGGCAGCAGCATGAGACCCTCATGAGAGCGTTCTCTCTTTCTCTCCCCCTCTCAAAATACGCTTTTCAAAAGGGGAGGGAATGGCTAAGTGCGACTGAGGTGCCCAAACCCCGAGCATTCCTGAGTTCAGGCTTGCCGTTCACGTGAAGACTGCATTTTGCCCGTGAGGCGAGGCCCGCAGGACTTCACTGCCATCATAGCTGTTACTAAGGCAGACACAGTCATGTACACATGCTCTTCCGTGTTTAAAGCACTTTCACAAACTCTTTTGGAAGGCAGGCTTCGCATCGCCTCTTTCAAAAAGGCTCAGGAGACCCTCTCTGCAGCCGCTCCTGATGCCACATAGGGGCGTCTGCCTCGGGTGGCCCTCCCGCTCCCACGGCTCCTGTGGCTCAGTGCACCCCTTCTGCAAGGATGGGCTTATCAGCTTTTGCCTTGGGAACAGCCAGCTCCTCTACAAACACAAAACCAATTGAACATTCTTGGCTTTTCCAACAGCGATGCTTGGTGAGCATTCGCCTGACTCATCCTCCCCCCACGCCTTCTCCCTTCCCAACTGGGTGCTGTAAAAAGGCATCTGCTGTGGGCAGGTGACTCACGGAAATTTTTGCAGTAAACCCAAAAGTTCACTGCCTGAAATCTGGTGCTTTCATGAGCAGTTTTCTTGGAGAATAGCTCCCATCATCTCTAATCTTAGGTGGTTCTTGCTGGTATTTTCCTGGAAAATAAAGTAAACATGACTTGGGTTCCCTAACAGTTTTCACACCTTAATTCTAATTCTTGTATATTCTCTTTAGTAAAAGCAAATTGCTATGTCCACTCAGTGGATTTTCAGGATTGTCTGCTAATTAAATGTGAATGCTGTGTTTATTCATTCATTCGTATGTTTTACTCAGCAGCTTTTTGTTGAATGCTTCTTAGACATCAAGAGATGTGGTCAACCCCAGAGTCACCAAAATAGGACATGAAGCTCCTCTCAGGGGCCTCCTAGAGGGAAACAAGTGAGTTTAGAATCACATCTTTGAACTCCTGGGGGCTCAGATCTCTAGTGTGATGAGCAACAGAGGCACAGGACGGATGGTGATGAGGCACAGGCACAGAGGAAGCACAAAGGAGGTGTCTTACCCAGTGGGCTTAGATGGACAGAGATGAGGACCGGCCTATGGCACATGGTCCCCGGGAGCTCAGCGAGGATGCTGAGCACGCCTGTTGGGAGATTTGTAGAGGATTAGGTTGGCTGCATTTAGAGAATGTGCAGGAATTAACTGCATAAAAATTATTCCTATATAATAAATGGCTTGCAGAATCTAAAAGTCTACAACTCTAAAACATCTAGAAGAAAATATGGAAGAATATTAGAGTTAGTCAAAGATTTCTTAGACATGCTACCAATCGCACAGTCCATTAAAAAATAAATAAATTAGACATCATCAAAACTATAAAATTCTGGAACCAGCAGTTGGCATAATGGCACTTCCACATAGTTAACCGTGGTTCAAGTCCCAGATCTGGTGGCTTAAACTCACGCCGGGCCGCGCGTGTGTGTGTGCCCAAGATCCCAAGAGGAGAATGGAGGAGAAGGGATTGTGGCGTGACCATCTCCCCTGGGGAAATGACTTCTTGCTTTCTGTCTCTCTGTTTCTCTCTGTCTTTCTGGCGAGTGCATACACCCTATAACAAAAACCTCTCCAAAGAAAGAGAGAGAGAGAGAAGAAAAAAAAGGAACCATAAAATTCTGTTTTCACAAACTGTAAAGAGAATGAAAATATAAGAAACAGACTAGGAGAAAAATTTTGTAAGCCATGTATCTGATAAAGGATTTGTGTCCAGAATGTATAAAGAATCCTCAACACTTAGTCAAGGAACTAGCTAAGCAAGAAAACACAAAGTTTTGAGCAGACACGTCACTACACACTGAAGGACCCCTGATTTCAGAGCACTGTACACAGATGTCAGAGATGCACAGGGAAGCTGCTCAATATCCTTAGTCATCAGGAAAACTTAAAACCACATGAGCCGTTACTAAATACCTACTGACATGACTACAATTTTAAAAAGCAACCATAGTGAAGTGCCAGTGACAGTATAGAGGAACTGGAACCCTCACACCCTGTTGGTGGGAATGTAAGATGGCAAAGTCACTTTGGAAACTAGTCCATCCGCTTTTTACAAAGTTAATGAACACATCCTGCCGTGTGATTCAGTCACGTCCCTCCTGGAGAGAAATGAAAGCTCATGTCTATCAAAGACAAACGCTCATAGCAGCTGTTTCTGTAATCGCTGAAAACTGGGAGCAGCCTAAATGTTCCTCAGCAAGAGAGCAGATCAACACCCTGCAGGTGGCAGGGGCTTCCTCCAGCGGGACACTGAACTTGGCAGTGGAAAGTGACAAGCTGCATACACGCGGCATGAGTGCGAAAGAGCAGATACCGTATAGAACTGCATACAAGTTGTAGAAAACACGAACTAGCACATGGTGAAGAAAGGAGGTCGGAAGTTGCAAGGGAATTGGGGTCGGGGTTCCAGGAAAAGGAAGAACTGTAAGGGGCAGGGGGGACAGGAGAGCAGTTGAGGTGAGGATATAGCCATTGTGTTCATCATGTGGTCTCACAGCTCTACTTCACGCGTCAGATCCTCCATGTGCGCATTAAATGTGTGCAGCTAGCTCTGTGTCAATAAAGCCGTCGGGAGAAAATCACTTGGAGAGAGAATTTAAAATCAAATTAACATTGTGAGCTTTCTACGATCTTTTTTTTTTTTTTTTTTTAAGA